AATCCCTACATTACATAAGCTATCCTTTTGTGATGGTACCAACAACCTACTCATGAAGAAAGAATGATTACTGTAAAATCAATACACAGAATTTATATACAAGCAAACTTTCCCATAAGTTGCCAGAGCTAATTCTCAAATTAATATCAGTATCCAATACAAGAATAGCAAAATGCTTTGGGTATTACAATACATAAGAAAAGAATAGGCAAAAGAGAAAAATGGGCAAAAACAGTACCCAAAGGAAAAGGAAGAGGGCAAATGCTGAACTGTAACATGAAATGTCTTGATCTGGATGTTCAATAATGACATATTTTAAAATACTTGCAGGAAAAAAATGTTTTGAAACCTAAATAAGCTATGATAGTATGTATTCCAGCATTGAGCTCAGTGTCTTACTGTAATATGCCATACACATAAAATTGAGAAACTATCTTCTGTTTGGTGGTGTCCTGCTTCACTTGGCAGTGTTTTCTTTACTGCTTGTTTTCTGCAGTTGTAAAAACTACAGATTCACAAAAAACAAAGCGATAATCTTGTACTGATCTTTAGGATACTGACATACTCAGATAAGAGAAGTGCTGTATTGCTCTCTAAGAAGCAAAGTGCACTGGGAAATTAGAGGAAATCATGATGGAAACGATGACGCCAACATAATTCATGCTACATTTATGACGCCTATCAACTTACTAGTTATTACACTCTAGAAAACAACAACAAAAACCCAACAAAATTACCCTAATGATACACTGTTGCACACTGTAGTATAGCAGTATTTTGTTGGGTATATTGGCTGGTATCTTGTTAATATGGTGTATGTGGTTATGGAACATTTCAATGAGAATGATCTCAGAAGACTAAAGAACATTGGAGCAATTTTTTAATGTAGAAGTGAATGAAAGAAGATTTGAATTGGGGAATATTTAGTCTGAACCAGAAAAATTCATCAAAAGTAGCCATCTTCTCTGCAAGTTGCAGGAAGTATTTTCATTTTTTATTACATTTTAATTGAGTTCACAAATTTTACACATTACTTTGAATTCTAAATTTCCTTAGCTGATCTTATTGCCTTGAAAAGTTCTGTGCACATGTATCCCGAGCATGGAAAAACATATCTTAAATGGATAAGCAGCTCAATGAAGTTAGCACCATAAGCACATGCTTAAATGAAAGTACTTTCCATAACCAGGTTCACAGGTGATTAGAATGTATGTGCCACTTCAAAATGCCAGTTCAAGAGGAAGGCCCCTGTTAATGAAAATGTATGATCTAAAGAGCTAGAAAAGAAATTTTAAAAGGCTGTTGTTCCTTTTGTTTCACTGAAAGAGGTCAAGATATTGCTCAAATCTTAGTCAAAACTAAATGTTTTTGCAGAAGTACTGTAGGAAAACATTTCAGAACCTATAGCTGGGTAACTGCACATCTTACACTCTGGCTTTGACACTTGCAGTGTAAACTGTAATGATTATTTATATAAGAATTAGTTTTTGCATTAATGAGAAAGTTAATTATTGCACATTCTACTAAGCAGCTTCCAAATGTATATAACTAATTATCTACAGAGATCCTGAACATTTCACATACAGTGGATAGTAAGAAAGGCACTTTCATTATAAGACCTATTTTATGCACCTTCAAAGTTTCCCCTTCACAATTCCTCTTAGGGTTTTTAACGCTGTGCTTTATCCTGTCCCAAATGCCTTGTCACTTGTTGCTGGAAAACCTTGCATTAAGTTCTTCTCTGCACTCCTGTTAACTTTTACATCTGAACTTACTATTATTTATACATTATTTGAATGGCCTGACATTCAAAAATTTCTTTTATGCAAGAAAAAAACCTTTTCTTACATACTGATTACATATTTTCCAGTAAGTGTCTGAGACAAGAATATTTCTAAAATCGTATCACGTCTCAAAGTGGTATAATCATAGGATTTTGTCAACGCACTCTGTAATTTTTTTTCATGCTTAGCATGTCTGGTACCTATCATAGTACCAATTTAACTTTTAACATTTCATCACATGGGCATCACCTGTAATACAACCTGACAAATCAAAAGGTCAGTCTGGCTCAGAGCGTATAAGAAATAAATAGAACTGAAAAGTTAAACGGAATACATAGAGATTATGAGGAAATCAAATTTCAGAAATCAGTAATTACATGTGAAAATATAGATTATTAAAACCTTGAAACATGACTTGCTAATTCATTCATGTGTTGGGAGAAAAATGAAAGAGAGGAAAAGACATTTTATTTGACAATTATTTTCAATTGAGATGAAACTGTAAATTATGTTAATAAAATACTTTGCTTAAAGTCCAAGCATGAGTCTACAGTCCCCTGTAAACCACACATTTGATTATGAAAATACAGGAGGTTTAAAAATTCATCTATGTTGAAGTAATTCTAGTGAGTCAGAGGAAGGGTTAACTGTATAACATTATCTTTGCATGCTGGAGAGATAGTTTACAGGATCTGGCTGGAACAGAGATTAGGTACAAAGTATGCTTCAGGTCTGATATCAAATGGGAACCAGACACTGGATTCATACAGAATGGCACTAAAATTTCATAAGATACTCTCACATTGTTCAAGTTCAAATGTTATAGCAGCCTTGTTGGTATGTCATTACTGTGATATTCTTAGACCACAGCCAGGGCAAGGGACAGAACTGTGCCTCAAGAGCATTCCTGTGACAGAATCTCAGTTTGGAGTCTCAGGCTGGGAAGATGCCCTTAAGCCTCCTTAACCAGAGATGAAAACAACCGCTGTGTCAAAATATATGCCACTGTATCAAAACCTAGGAATATATATTTGAGTCATGTTTTTGCACTCAATAGAATCCAGTCAGGCAGCAAAAGCTCCCTACTAACAACAGAAATGAGATCTAAAAGAAGGCATTTGGGTCTATGTCCTACCAGAGGAAACTTTTGATCTGCAATAGTGATAAATGATTGTTTTCAACCCTTCAGATTGGTTACCGGCTACAGAGTCAGAATTAGTTTTAAAGATAAAAATTGTGTATCAAACTGCAATAATATTTTGCTTCAGGGTATTTAGAAACACTGCAAGGTAGTCTATAAAAGACCTACCACATATTTGAACCATAAGTGGATATAGGCATATTTTAAGAGTTACCTCCTGAGCTTCTCTGAATGGTGGATCGCTTTCAGTATATTTTAAATGATTTAATTTTGAAAGTTTATTCTTTTTTTAACTATTTGGATTTTATTACATACTGATTTATTCTTTTAATATTTCTTCCCCTTTTGGGGGCTCTCTATCCTATAGTAACCAGATCAGGTTAAATTATGTACAAATGACAAAATTTGAATCCATTTCTTACCACTGATAGGAATTATCACTACAGGTAAACTACAAAAGCTTTGATTGTATTATTAAAATAGTTTGTGGTCATCTATTTCAGTCTTCTCCCATCTTAGCTGAATCTATAACCTCCTGTATTGTACTGCTATACTATTTACAAATTAACATACAGGTGAGAAACAGTGATACACCTAATCAAGTTACTTCTGTCAAAATACATATCACATACTTCAAAACTGCTTTGCATGATAGTAAGCTTACTTTCTTTCTCCCAGCTTCTTTCTTTGTTTAGTCAGTAGAGTTTCCCTTCTGTGTGTTGCATAAAGTCAGCTAGGTTCCAAATACATTAGGAAAGATTTTACTGAGATCTTTATATTGTGACATTCTGCTAACATTTTGGAAAGGGACTTCAAATAAATATTCTAACTTACTCTGAGTATTTGACACATGCATGCTGATAGGCAAGACGAGAATACTTTATAACAGGAGATACCATCAAAATTTCAAGAGAGACACTTACTAGAAATGGTGGTACTCAGTTTCTGAACAAGTACAAAATATATTAGTACAGCTGATAAAAAACCCACTTTCCAATTCATGCAATCCTATATATATTTCTATATCAGTAATACTATCCCATACACTGCAGAATGTTCCAGAGTTGCTTCTTGCAGAAATTTTGTATCTTTTAGATTTCTGACATTCGGTTTTCGTCTTACAGATGTCAAACTCTTTTTAAAGACACCTTTCTCTTTCCTATAGATAGGCACATTAACAGTGTCCACAGAAGAAATGAACTCCACTGCAGGAAACAAATTTAACCTGTTCTTCTGTTAGTAAGATGGCTCCTTTTTACCAGAAGATCCTGAGAGCACAAACTACCATATCACTGACTGCATAGTCCATACAGAAGATGGACCAAAGAGAAAATATCTTCAATCAAAATATTTTCAAAGTTCAATAAATTTATAATATTGTCCAGAAAGCTATAATTTTGTCATAGTAAGTATTTCAAAAAATAAGCCTATTAAACTGAGATTGAGCTGAAGGATAACAAAAATTCAGCTCTGCAATACTTAAATTTAATAACACGCTCAGCCAAATGCAAAATTCCATTTCCTGCTAGATCAAAATTTAATTGCTCCACTTCATTATTTGATAGTAACAGTGTATTCTATTAAAATGATTTTTTTATTATTGTTTTTCTATGGCTACTACTCAAAAACTCCAATGTAACACTCTCCCTCTGTAGTTCAGAAGATAGAGAATGTAATATTATTTGGTAGAAATAAAAGTAATTTCCCTAAAAAAAAACCATTATTGCAATGTAAAATCCCCTGAGAGCACCTCACTAAAATGAGTATTTCCAAATTACTTTAAAGAGATTGCTTACACCTGGAAATGTTTGCATAACTGGACAGACAGAAAGAACAAGACATTTACTCATTTCTATTCACATCCTGCACTCCACCTGATTACATTAATGGAATAACCATTAGCACAACAAAATACGCTACACCAGTTTAAGGCCACTTACACGTTGAAATTATTAACCAGTTTACAACACTAACAACACATAAAATATACATTTTCGAAGTCAGTATTCTGCTTAAAGGTACTACTGAAAATACATTGAAATAGATAAGTTATAGTCACAATTTTACTGACTTACCCTGGTAGAAGAATTCAACAAGGAACCATTTGGATTGCCAGTGTTGCACTTGAAACTCAAATGTTGATCAGGATGATGACTTGCTTCCCAGCTTCCCAAATCATGTACCACTGACTTGTCAGAATTTGGAGATAGTTTCTGGAAGGCAATGCAAGTCATTCCTGTGAAGCTAGATGGCTTGATCATAAAGGCCTCCAAAGCAATATTATGAGAAACCTGCGAAAACATTGAGAAGCAGATACGTTGCTAACTCATTAAGCATAATTGCATTATTTTATGTGCAATGTGTATTTGCTGTATATACTATATAAAGGATTGTGCATGCACACGCTCACATACATATTCAGAGTAAGAAAGAAAACTGATCTAGAATTCTACAATTGCATAGTGGGTTTGCTTGAATCTTCTTTACGAATATAATAGTTTATATCAGTTATAATTATATGAGTTTTTCAATTGTATCATTATCCGTTACAGTGGAATCAATCTTGATCTAAAGCAACAGTTATAACTAGCAACAGCAGTAGTAGGAAATATTTAAAAAACTAAAAAGGAAGTGCTTTGTACCTCAGAAATGAAACGGAAAGCTTCTTAGCTATTGGGTGGATAGATTGGTTTTTCACAGATTTTGTTCCATTAGAATATTGAACATGACTATATGGTTCAATGCAACACCACATTGTAGGTCTTTGGCCTACCCTTTGGTGAGGCGATATGTCTGGATGGAGATTGTAGCACAGAGCAGAGATATACATCTCCTTTATCCTTAAACTAGTATATTCATTTCAGCACAGTCCTGTACATGAGATAAATAGCTCGTGTTATAACCAGGCTGACTAGCTCAGATTGGCAACACACTGATTGGACTATATAATTTCTGCTTCCAGGCATAGATTGTTTAATGATCTGTGCATATGTATTTTGCACATCAATTGGAATGTAAAGATACTCAGAGTGTAAAAACGTGGCAGTTTTGTATTACTGTACTTTACTTCTGTTACACAAGCTAGTAATATAGAAGTACCTTAAATCCATCTAGTAAAAACTGGTGTGAATCCTTTAGAATTTGAGTTGTGCTGACAAGAAATTACTTCACTGAAGAAAAAATCACATTAATTCATATTAATAAATTAATCTAAAGAAAACATTTTGCATTAAAAAAAATAAGGCCAGGATACAGGGTAGCCTAAATGTGTAAAAGTCATGGCACAAAAAAAAAATAAAATCTTAACATGAGACACAGTGCATGACTTACTGGTCCTCCTTTGAACTTACAAAAAGGTTTTCAAATGCACCTTCTTCAGTCACTGACGATTCTGCATATGTCCAAAGTGAAAGTACTGAAGTATCATTCAGCAATTTCTTTTAATTTTTCTTGAAATGAGACAAAATTCAGAAGCTTTCAGTATATTTTTTACAGTTTTTATATATATAATTACTCTATTACTTTTATATGTTTACTATATTAATACAGTAAACCATTTATTAGTTTGTATGTTTACTATATTATGTTTATATAATTACTTTTAAAGTAAAAGTAGCTTAAAGATTGTCATTTGTTTCTAAATTCCTAAACATCCTTTTTTTAGATTAAATTTCCACCTCTTCTGTCTTGCCTGAAGGTGATCTTTTTCCACACTTGAATAAAAATGCCAAAGGTCATTAAGAATCAAGTAATTTTTGTAATAAAAATCCAGTGGCAGTTCATTGAAAACTCCTATAACCTAAACCTAGGTTTACTTGAAAAAATTTTAATCCACCGGCAGATAGCCCTTCAAGGAGTTAAAAAATTTACTGCTCACAGAATACTATTATACATATCATGGGAATCAAGCTACATGACTCAGTTAAAACTCTTGTGTGGTAACAGGTTTTACTTAATCTTGGGAAAAGCCACTTAATTATTCATAACTTCATATTTCCTTCTGTAGAATTGGCATAACACTAATTCCCTATTTCACATTTGTGAGCTGATGGTGAATAAGATGTTTGCTAGATAATGTGGTAATAACGATTCAAGTGACATCTATTTTTAAAATTTTTAATATTAAATTCTTTAAACGCTTGGAGTTTTCCGCTCTCAAAATATACCTGTAATGGCTCAACAATGTTCAAACAGTGCGAACACGCCATTCTCAGCATACAGAAATAGACGCAAGGTAATGCAAGGTAAAACAGCGTTCATTATGTAGGATTGTAAAGTGAGCTACAAAATGGATAGAGATTAACTCAGAGCAAAATTATCCATGGAAACAAGCCACAGTCAAGTACATGTTATGAAAAGCCACAAGCTAATCTTGTCTTTAAGCAGTACAGATACAGAGAATGATAATTTGGTGTACATTTCCTGAGCCTCAGATAAGGGCAACACTCAGCAGAAGGGCCAAAGAGGATTGTTACCTGGGTAAGTTGAGAGCAGTACCGAAGGCTGCAAAGACTGAGAGCACATAAAAAAAAAGCCACATTGCAATTAGCCTAAAATAATCTGACAGTCTCACCAGCTGGAGAATGAAATGAAAACTCTTCAGAGGTGGATTTGAAAACTACTACACACACCTAACACAGGACCCTTGAGATAAGTTTTATCATCAGCTGGAAGTCTTCCCTTTCAATCTGCACATCTGACAGGGATACACAGAAATAAAATAAAAGCAGGAACAAAGAAGCACCTCAGAACAATACTGAATAGAAATTAATTTGGGATTGCTGAGAGATACAGACTCACACTGGGAGCTCTCAGTTGCCCAGGGCACCCACCCACATCACTGGCTGCACCCAGGGCCTCTAAGGGGGCTTCCATCCCCTTTCCTCTGGCCCAGTGTCAAGCTGAGGCTTCTCCAAAGTCTCAAACTCCATGGTGGCTGTGTCACAGCCTGGCCACCAGTCCTCTTGCCCCAGGCCCACCATTGACCTGGGGCTGGACTCCTCACCACAGGCTGGCCTGGCAACTACCAGGCCATGACTGAGCCTGGTTACCATCACCAGGCTTGATGTGCTGCTTTGCGTTCCTCGCCTGGCCTCATCACCACCACTGAGGACATGTCCCTGGGCTGGGGGTGCCCCAGTGGCTCCCGGTCTGCCCCACTTTGGGTGGGATCAGTAGGACAGGTCATTGCTGGGGAAGCCCCAGCCCTCACAGCATCCTGAGAAGCACCGTTTGTCTATATGACTTCTCTGAGATTTTAAACACCATACAGCAGAATAACATCTTATTTGTTTTACTGTTATATGATCGTTATAGGAAACATTGAGTATATATTATTTTATACATAAATATGAAATTATCTAGCATTTAAAAGCTCCTACTGGTCATTCTTCCTGCAACATGTCTTGTACACCACTTGACAGCAAGGGAGACTTAAGAAGACCTAAATGAAGGTATCCATTCTAGTGTTTTTCTGACCTTGAAATTGGTCATTTCACAACCTCATGGAACTGGAAAAATAATTTTGTCTTCCAAAAATGATGTGGTGTAACAGTCATGGCTTCCAAGTAGCTTTTCAATGTACAAGGAACACAGCCATGTATATGTTACATGACTGACAGGAGTTTGGGGAATTTTTTTTTGCTGTTGTTTAAAATAAAGAAAGCAGATGCAATTTCTTTGAGAGAGTCCACTGGCTGGCCTCCCAAAGGAACAGACAGAAGTGTTTGGTATTGCGTGAGATGACATCGGAAAAACTCCACAGCTTTGTTTATTTACAAATTATACTCAACCGTAAGCTAATTCTTCTACAGAAAACTATAAGAAGTAAAAAAATAAGGCATAGCAAAAAGGTTTTTACCTTTACCACAAATTAGTAAACTTTATGACAAGATACACCTTTTTATCATTTTCTAAATATTTTAAGCAAGTATTGATAGACTCCTGAAAGGCAAAAAAGTCTTCAGGCAACAAGGGAGCATGTGATCTTTTCTCTTATTAAAAATTTCACTCACTCAACTTAGACCTTTCAAAATAAACCCATATACTACAGTGAGAAGAACAATATGAACTGAGTGAATAGTAAGAACTCTGGAAAGATACTCTTGTGAACAGTCTACTATAAGAATAAATACAATAAATCAAAGTCAAGAAAAAACACTTTTTAATACCAACAGTGATAGTAAAAATATTTCAATCTTCCAAATAGAATACAGGAAAAGAAAAAATAAATAAACCACAGAACCCAAGTAAATGTACAAAAATTGTCTATGCGGTGTATCTGGCTTTCACAATCTCACTTCTCTGTATACTAAAGGGTTGTAAAAATTGTGAGGAAAAATGTGATTTTAAAAATAAATTCTGAGAAAAGACTTCGTAATTTTATAAAATACCTTTGATATAACTTGAATATTGCTGGTCAGTATTTGACTTGCAATGTGTTCCACACATCGTACAATCCTGGTACAGGCTTTGTCTTCTTTTTGAGACATCCACAACACATGGTCATCGACAAGCATTATATTGCTTGCAATTTCAATAAGTGCATTCCCAATCTGGAAAAGGAAAAAAACCAACAAAAAAACAACAAAAAGCCAAAAATGGTATTACTTGGAAAATTCACAAAAGTAGGAAAAGAGTACACAAGAGTACAACTGAAAGCAAGCACCTTATTTCTATTAGTAGCCATCATTAGTTCGAAGACAGTTTTGATTCTATTAAGGAAATTAAATGGATTGAAAAATAAAGACCAAGAAAAGAAAAGTGCAACTGACTTCAAGGAAAAGCTTTTTTGTTCATAATTTTAAAGCTTATCTTCAAGATACACTACAAGAAATGTCTGTCATTGGGCGATAAATGAAATCCCAGAATTATCATCCTCTTTCTTAAACTAATTAAAATTGACCACAGCTATCTAAAGAACTGCTTCATGTTTAATAAAAGGATCTTTGGGGAAAAAAGAATAAAAAGAGGGAAAATATATTTGAAATATATTTTTGTTACAGACATACTGGGGTAAACTTGAGATACAACTCAAGTGCTGATACAAACCTGTATCATCTCATTTGCTATACAGAAAGTGTGGGATTATAGCTTTTCATATTTTAATTCACTCTTGTGGCAAACCCAAAGTGACAAATCTTTGTTTTGCTAGATGACATTTTGCAGATTTTGGTAAGTATGACTATGTGTTTCAAATTTTTATTAGTATATTACATGTAGAAAGAATAAACATAACTCTGAATATTTTGGTGATTATTTCAAATTGAAATTAAAATATTTAGTTTTTAAAATTCTAAAACTTCAGTGAGATTTCAAAATTAACATTTCCATTAATTTTAAAGACAAAGATATGATAAAGATATAGCAGGTAGTCCAAAATAAACCTGAAGAAAAGGATATATGAAAGAGAAAAAAAATACTGAGACAAGTATAGCTAAAGAAAAGTTAAATAGACTAACAAGTGAAACTAATAGAAACAGAAAAACAGGGCAAATACATAGATAATTCAGGGGGAAGCAAAAAAGAAATGCAGCAACAGGAATGACTGAGGTTCTGAAGTTAGCTCTTCATTTTCCACATGGTTTTCCCAGAAATAATGAGACGATATGTGAAATTTTATGTGACTGTTCCTGAAATGTATAATCTATTTTTGAGAACATAATTACTAGGTAATTCTAGATGGCTTTTGACAATGTGACAAACAGAGTTACAGATACAATGAATAATAATAAAACACATTAAGAGACTGGAGTGATTTATGAGAAACGATTAAATCATACACCAACCAGCTAAGCAGTAACTTACTGAGGGCAGAACAATAGCCCATAAATATACAAAAGGAGAGAAATATGAAAAGGAAGTAATTTATATTATAATTAAATGGTAAATTACAAAAAATCTCTTTGTATGTATTGTCAATAATTTCTAATGGTTTTACATAACTGTAATTTCAGCTGCTAGTCAATTCCAAACTAATATACCTTTGTTCATATGTTGCTTTGTATTAAGTGAAGTTCAATCCTATTTATATCTACATGAGTGCAGCCTCATATTAGAAACTACTGACACTTTAATTTCACATATATTTTTGTACCTTATGAGTGAGAGTTAAGAAATGGGTATTAGTAAAGACCTCACTGAATGAGGAACCCACTTAGCAAACTTGAGAGAAAGGAAAAAGTGTAAAGTTCAAAAAAGAAGAAGGAAAAAGGAATGCTCTGAATTATGAAAATAATAAGAGATTATGAAGTAAGAGATGCAGAGATAAGTGGTGGAGATGGAGATGTTTCAATACCAAAAGCAGAAATCGAAATCTATTTAAAAGGTGGAATAAATCAATTAAAAGGTTAGAGCTGGTGCTCAGTTTTAATAGATAATGTATTAGCTGCTAGAAAAATAAAGAGGCTTTATGGTAAATCCAACTGTTTCTTTTGGATGGTAAATTTTTGTTTTGTCAGAAAGCAGTACAACCTTATCAGGATTTTGAGCCAAAATACAAGGAGTTGTAGCTTTGAAACTTGATTCTTGGAGAGGACTTAATAATACACTTTAGGTTTGGCACATAATGATGAAATTGAAGTTTGAGGCTTTCTCAAACTGGCACTAAAATGTTAACTGTTACAATCCCCAAAGCCAGAATGGAAAGAACATTGCCAAACCAAAAGAAAACAAATGTTTTAACTATAGGTATCATGTGTACAAAAATTACAGGTTATGAAATCTTTATGCAAGCAGTTACTCTGGAAATTAACAGTAAAAACTATGATGAACATTGCTGTTCTCTGTAAAAATCTATTTTTCCCATAGGGCTTGTGTAACTCTCCGATTAGATTTCCCTGTAAAAATGCTATACTTTATGCTAGAAGTTCCTCTAGGAAGTTGCATTTAAGACACATTTTCTTCCCTTCACATGCTTTCAAAACTCAGTGAAAACCTCCTGATGAAATGGAGAAAACAAAACAAGAGTGTAACTCCAGTGGCCAGATGGAGAGGCTCCTTGAGTTCATTCTAATGTTAGACATTGTAGAAATTAAAATGAAAAAGAAAATTACAGAAATGGCTTATTGAAAACCACTTTCTATTCCTAAGCAGCAATGCCTTCATCCATCAGATGAGAAGGCTTAGTTGTCCTTTTTGGCATGAAGGAGCATACAACATGGAGAACATTTGCAATCAGAATACCAGCAATCAATTTTAGAAGCTACTCTTCAGTGCGTGCCTGCATACATTAAGAATAGGGTCATAGGAGAAGACTTCATTTCTAGAGTGATACTTTTTTTCAGCAAAGAGAAGATATCTTACATCTCCAACTTCATCCACGAAGACAACTAACTTTTCCATTATATAAGCCAAATATATTACATCCATTTTATCCGCAAAGTGGGAAGCACCTCTTGTGTAGGCTGTCAGCTGGCGGGAAAATTCAAGCACGGTTGTCAAATTGATGTGCATCTGCAAATACATCAGAATTGTTAGGTGTAATAAGTCACCTAGCTTCATTCACTTTTAAAAACTGGAGATCACATCCGTTTGCATAATGCTTGCTATAATTTCACATGGAGTTATATGCATCAGTAGTATCACGGACATAAATTTCAGGGACATATGAATGTATCTTCAGCATTAGGACTCAGATTTCATTGTTGACACCTGAAGACACCACCACCACAACAGGACAACAAATTTTGAAGATTTTTGTCTACTTTTTCTACCATAACTAACTGGCCTCATAAAATATTATACCAAGTTACTAACCTTGCCTTGTCAATATCTTTAGATCATATATAGATTGGTGCATGGTGGGAGAACAAGGGATAATGGTTGTAAGTTGAAAGATGTTCAGACTGGTTATGAGGAAAATCTTTTATGTCATGAGAATAGTCAGGCATTTGTACAGGTTACCTCCAGAGGTTGTGCAGCCTCCATCCTCAGAGGTTTTAAAGACCTGAATGGTTAAAGCCCTGAGAAACCTGGCCTAACCTCACTGCTTGCAGGAGAATGGACTGGATTCTAGAGACCTTCCTAATTATTTTATTAGCTTATAATAGCACTGGCTCTCTTAATATAGTAATTATTCTTATTTAAGCATGAACACATCTGAAAACAAACCTCCTGTGGTGTTGTCTGATTCGGAAGAAATAATAATGGAAACTGAAAGTTGTAAAAGTTAGCACGACAGTTACAGGTCTGTGCCATCTTCCATGCTGTTACCTGTTATGCTCTTATTTTCTCATTATTCTCTATCCATTTCCTTTTTTATCTCATTCTCTCTTTTACTTATTAATGAGAAATCATTTATGTACTGCTTTTTTGGAAGATATTAAAAAGGTGTTCTAAAGTAGGCTTCATTTCTGCAGTCCTTTTAAATATATCATGGATAATGGCAATAAGGAAAGGCACTTCAGCTGACAAAATTGTGATACAGAACTTTAAGAGAAATTAACATCTTTCTGGTAAAAATGCATGAGGGGAAGACAAAAAGGAACTGAAGTGAAGCACTGACGACATTACTAATGGTCATCTAGACTACAGGCACCCAGAAAAAAAAAAATTAAATGAAGACAATATATTCTGTGCACTTGTTCCAACTACAGCTTCAATTACCCGACAAACACATTGACTTTCAAATAAAACATTTTCTTAAAAGATCAGCTATCCCAAACTTGTGGATGAACAGACATTTCTTGCAAACTATTAAATAAAATCAGTACTAGAGAAGGGAAAGTCTGGCTTTCATAACGTTACCTGACTAAAAGCATGAAGAACTTGAGTTACTTCTTGTGAATAAGGACATTCAGAATAGTTTTCTTCATCCCAACGTCCAGTTCGATTACATTTACGCCATGCCTTAGACTCTTCTGCTCCATTGTGAAAGGCAATGGAGTTAAATGAATACTGAAGACAAGGATGGTAAGCAGTTATCCCGGCCAAAGTTTTGGGCCATCTGTGAACAACATGAGAATAAAAAATTATGTGAAACTTCTTATTTAAAGGCAACTTACAGCAACAATATACAGAATATATAAGAAAAAAGGCTATTATAAATTTTACCTCATTATGTTCTATAATGAATTACTTTGCTTTGTTGGAAATTGTCAAAATTATACAGGTTTGAGTCTGGCTGGTCTTCATTAACTTCAGGAAGGTGTTTGGTGTTAAAGAAAAAAATATGGATGGCATTTTCCCTACAATCATTTTTGCCGAAAAAGAAGGAAAAAAAACAAAAAAAAAAAAAAAAAAAAAAAAAAAAAAAGAAAAAACACAAATTACTATTACTAAATGCTGTAAAAGGTAAACACTCAAAATGTACCTGACAATCTGCTCTGCATTTTGACCCAATGCTACAAAGCCCTCTTTGCCACAAAGCCGTGAAAAGCAAAAATCTCTGAATGTATCAGAAACCAATAAACATGTTGTCAGCAGAGATTATGTCTCATGGAGGAGGAAGCAACTAGCCCTCAAAAATTAACTATTTAGTTATACATGTTTTATGTAGTGTGATGCCAAAACAGTCTTTGAGAATAAAGTATAAATCAAGAGCAGACACAATTATCCTGTTTAGCTTGTGGGTCTATTATACAATAACCTTTTTTCTGTATATCTGCTACATTCTCTAGAATGGCACAACTGGGTTCTATTTCTTTTGCTACCAAATCCATTACAGGCTAGTATGGACATAGCAGAACCAGGTAATTGGAAGAAATCAAAGAAAACCAGAAGCATAACATCGGCAAGTCAGCATGTCTGGAAAGGATATGGCTCTTTAATTGCACTGATGTAATGACTGAACCCAATCATAAAAAATATTCTGCCTGACAGTGAAGCCACACCTTGATAATCAACCTTTGCCCAAACATACATATTAGACCCTCTTAGTTATACAATACAGGACCATTGTTACATAATATACTGACAGGTTTTGGGCTACGTAAGTTTTCCTCATTTGAAACAAAGAAAAGAGAAGCAGCAGAATATTTTTATTTGTCATAACTGTCACTGGAGTAATTAATTTTGTTGTGTAAAAACAATTGATGCAAAATGAACCACAAAAGGAGCTTCACAAAAAAAATAAATAATCAAAACATGTACAGTATTATATTCTCCTTTTGCCTCTGGGTTGAAATCTTATTTTTAGTAAAACATTTGCATTAATGCAATTGGGCCACACTGAGTAGAAACTTACCTCAAAAGTAAAACTAAAGAGATAGTTCTGAAACTAGTATTAGCACAGGTAGCAGAATGGCCTATATGAATAGGAATGATAGGACATAACTTTACTATTTGCATTTCAGAATGATCTTACAGAGAGCTGAAAAACAAAAAATGAGCAAAATATGGCCATCATAGAGAAAACCTCTTAGAATATAAGGCCAGTTCATTCTGACTTACAGAGCCTAATTCTGACTGTCATTGTGCAATTATAAATACCACCTAGGCTGGTCAACTAAAAGAACCACACTTCCCTAACAGTTGAGGCTTTTTTCTTTTTGTTTTGTTTTGTTTTTTTTTTGTCCAATAAAAGAACTGTTCTTTCTAGCTTTGCTTTTGTGGTTCAACTCTTTCTACTTACATACCAAAACTTCAAAGACCTTTATAAGAAAAATTACTGGTGTGATAGCTGCATCTCTGGGGATAAATCTTTGGAACCATATGAAGTGCCAATGCTGAGTTTGAGCCTGATAAATTCTCTATAATTTTAAATTCATTCCCTCAAATGCCAAAAGAACCTATGGACTCAGCATCCTTTTGATATACATTTTTAAAATAAATTTATATGGATTTCTAGAAGATCTTTTGGGAGAGAAATGTGCACTCCTGTTCTTTTGATTTACATAAAATGACAAAAATGCCCCTGGTGTTAGTTTGTGCAGTCTGTAGAATTTATATATATTAATTTATGAAGAACAGGATGTATTTTTATGGCAAGAACAAGAACTTCATAAAGCTGTCATTTAAAAGATTCAGTATGTGTTATCTGATAGGAAGTATATCTATTTTTAAAGACCTCATTAAAATGCATTCAAGCACATCCACTATGAGAAAACACAATGGCAGTTCTTGTGACAAAAAATCTATAGCTGATACTGTAAAAGCTATCTAATGGATATTAATCCATCTATACGGATTAAATATGTATAAAAATATATGTTCAGCAAATGTAGTATACTCACTGGGACCAAGTTTAACATGTAACAAAATAGCGTCATAGTAAAGAGAAAACAGATTATGCGAGTCAGTTTTTTCACTTCTTTCTAATTCATATCTTTATTTTTATTCAAACACAATAAATAATAGTAAAAGGCCTTTGAAAAAGTTTTAAAGGTAACTTAAAAATGAAGAGAGGCTTTCAGGTCAGAAGTATTTGCAGAAAGTTCTGGTGTATAAGAGAAACTTCTCATCTACTTTTACTTTCATTAACTTTTCAAGCTGAATTCTTATTATAATTCACTTGGTAACAAATTACCTTCTTGATTTCTCAATGGGAATGCCATCATACATCAGTGTTATTGTCAAGCAGGTAATTATATTTTGTTTAAGAGCTTTATGCATATCATTGAGATATTTTAGAGCTAACTGAAAACAATGCTAAATTCCACAGAATTCTTAACGTTTTCTTCAGTTTACGGAATTAAAATGAAAAAAGACCCCAATGGTTTACGTAGATAAAAGTAAAGATTAAATCAAAATTACATTTAGTCAGCAAAATCATGCAGAATCTAAGATTCAGATAGGAGGACAGATGTGTTTTCTAATGATGTGATATATTGGTGGAACTGTGTGTGTCCTCAAGCACACCTCTGATGAGCTCTTTGTTTTACTAAGTAGTTTTACTTGATATTTTGATTCTCTCACTGAAATATTTTACTAACAGTTTTATGTTATTTGGTACCTCTAATCTCAGCTGAAAAAAACCAGCAGAACTGGAACAGACTAGAAAAGTACTGAAGATTTAATCTTTTAATGTCTTAATGCAGTGTTATCATATACTATAATTTAGGAAAGAACAAGAACCATTCTGTACCATTTCTCATTTAGCTGAAAAAAGCCTATATCTTTTGAAACTTTCCATAATCTCACACAGAGGAATTAGAAGTAAGACTCTCCGACTTTCACAGACCACTGCTGGTCTCACAGCACTAGCTGCCGTTTCCCATAAAAATCACACAATACTCCTCCTTCCTATTATATTACATAAAAAGGACAAGTAAAATAAGTGACATCTTCATAACTGACACTGAAGTATCATGTAAGCATGAATAAGGTCTGTATCTATATTATTATATGAAACATACTTCAAAACCAGAAAATCATACCTGAAGTCTCCCTTGTTGTTAATAACTCTTTCTGCAGGGCAGTAGGGTGCAGCCGTTTCAAGTACCACAATTTCTACTTGTTTAGTGCTATTTCCATACGAATTGTTGACTAGACACTCCCAGTCTCCAGTTGCATCAATGTCAATGCTTGATAGGATAAGTTCACTATAAAAAATAAAAGATTAATTATTGTATATACTTAATTATATAGGGATCGGGTCATTGGTCTTCTGACATAAAGTTCTCTTTGGACATTTCCTATGAAAATACAAAAACAGGTTTTGTTCTATGTTATTACAGGGACAACACAATATGTGAATGATTGGCGTTAAGATTTTAGCAACACCAATTTGGACAGACCACTCAGATTATGATAGGCTATAACACAGATTACCAATCATCACAAAAGTATATCAGTTATGTATCAATGTCCATTCTCCTTTCCTTAAACATTATGAAATGGGTGGGGGGGGGATGGTTGTTGAATAAACAACCACTTGAAAGTCAGAAATGCATTTCAATTTGACAACACACCGAATTTACAGAGAATGCTTCCCTTCAGCTACAATTGCAACTCCTATAGCATCTCACAGCAGCATCTGCTGCTCCTGTGGCAGCATGGGAAAAGTTTAGTAGAATAGCCACTGACTTTGGAAGCCGTATATCATTTTCCTGATGAATGCAAAATGAGATGAGGCAAATCCTGGTATTTCTTTCAGTACTTCACTACTCAAACTTCTTCTACACTGTCACACACTCAAAGGAAATGTAGCTATTAATATCAATAAATTAAGGTTGCATTAACTCTCCTTATTGCACTTTTACAACAAATTCTATTGTAACTTTTTTTTTTTGCAGGCAATATAGGAAAAGCTTTAATAGCCATTCTCAGACAGAGTAGCTGAATATTTTCATGTCAAAAGAAGCAACTGTTCTCTTAAGAAGTATCAGATGAGAAAGTAGTAGATGAAAGCAGATGAGAAGTAACAGCAGTCTCTTAGCTAACTTTTAATACATTTTGTTGCATTCAGGTTGAAATACTTAAGTGAAATTAGTAAGCTAATTTTTTTTATTAAGTCTTCTATGTCATAGGTCACAACAATCTCACATCTTTATAGACAGCTGAGAAAGAATATAATAGCTTATAAAAATAATTAACCATAAAAACTCTATTTCACAGAAATGAGAGGCAGCAGAAAAATTCACCTGTGGCATCAAGACATGGAGCATTCCCAAGTGAACAGAATGTAGGATAGATGTGCTGCTCTTTCGATATATTTCATATTCAATATGTATAATCATTGTTAACACCACAAATTTTATAAAAGTAGGAACCATGGTGATTTTTAGGTAAAAGCAATACTCGAACATAATATTAGGTTTACAGGTAATCAATATGAAAATAAATAAAGAAAAATGGTACCTTTTCCATTTATTTAAATTGCTGAAATGTGTTCTGATGCAAATTTATCTGCCAATAAACAGATCTTTTGTCATTAGATGAAGTTTCTCAGTTCTACAGACAAATATTTACTGATACATCAGTGTTGTTTCTGGTAGAAAGGCAATTCTTGAACACTGGTTCAAGTTCTTTAAAATAATGAGTAAATCCTCACATTCACAGTTTTAATCTTCTATGGTCCTTTCCTCAGATGATGAACCAAAACAAGCAGAATAGGTTTATGCAGTATAGGAGAAGCTGTATAATGGCTAGAACATGGAGTTGTCTTCTGAATTGCCATCTGGCCACTGTAAATGATGCATTCATTTATATTCCTCTAGGAATATTTTGAATAGCAAGCCCAATGGTGAAACTGTTCATTTACTTACCATCTGGATATGACAAATGATAAATTGATCTTATACCCCTGAAGAATTTGGGGGACTTGATTTAAACAAAAAAAAAAAAAGTCTTTTAACTCTCAAAAAGAGCACTCAACTTGATCCTTTAACATTTTCTCCACTTATAATCCTTGGCAACTTCTCAGTCCTAGCAGACCAAAAGGAAAGGCTGGGCCTCTATAGAATTTTAATCCTCTTCATAAAATTTTCTAGTGGGTCAGTTACATATTTTAAATCTTGAAACTGTTACTTTAGCATGCCCAGAAGTTCCATTTTTTTTTCTTACTCTTAGTAGAAAAGCATTCTGGATATCTCTTGGCCATAGCAACAAGTCTTGCTAAAAGGCAGGAACTCTCCTGTTACCTAAGAACACGGCAGGACTCTCTGGTTTAGGACTTCAACAAGAGCACAACAGAATTAAGAGAGTACACCACCTTTGGCTGTTTATTTTTCTTGATTATCCTATCTCACAGAAGCTAATAAATGTCAGGCCACAAATTAAACAATCTGGCCTCTACTATGCAGCTTTCCTAAGGCTGGAATGTGAGCCATAACGAGTTCCTGCTCCCTCTACTTAGCAATCATATCACAGTCCTCAGAGGTGTGATAGTTGCTACTTCTGTGGAAATTTTTGACCTACCAAGACATAAAACAAAGTCAGACATTTATGAGTTTGGCAGTCAAGTCAGATAGTCAAGGCAAACTGAATTAGAAAACTGCTGCCTGATGAGAACAAAAGGATGACTAGCAAGCTTTTCTCAAGTTTTCTTTCGAAATTACAGTGGCCTTCTCAGTGAAAACATTGAAAGGAAGAAAGAGAATATACACGTTTATTTTCTGTACTGGGAAATTTCATGCATGGTAAGATTCCTTTTTCAAATGTGATGACTGACATATTGAAAAATTAATTAAAATGTAAAGCTCATGCAATTGCATTAAAAAGTTGTTATAATATTCAACAGAAGCCTGTGGCATCAGTCATTACTAAAAGAGAAATACAGGCAGAAGCCATACTCATGTAATCAAGTAATCTATGACAACAGATTTCTATTTGAGGCATAGTTTTGCATTGCTACAGCTATGCATAACTTATTAGACAATCAGAAGTAGGTCTCATTATGCAAAGTTACTCAACCATGTCCTGAAGTAATACCTTAGCGACATTTACTGTATGCCCCAGCAGTCATTTGCATGCCAGGAAACAGAGTAACGAATAAAGAGAAGACTTTAGCACCATATTTAGATGGGCTTTCTACAAGAAAGGTTATTAAGTCTGACTTGAGTTCCTGTAAGACTTGGGAGAAATCAACTACTCTTCCTGGAGAAAAATAAAAATTAATTACTCAAACACAGATAACAGGTTTCCTCATCTTCTTCTTCAGACAGATAAATAGTAAATGCTTTTCCACAGTTCAGACAAAAGGCCTGCATAAGCTGCATCCAACCCATACCACCTTAAATTATTAATACTAACACACAATTTTAAAAATTAGTGGTGTTCTCCAGAGTACACTGCTGTTTGGAACACAGCCTTTCACAGGGGATATAAGGCTAAAACATGGAAAAGGAAGAGAGAATGTGTAAATCTAGGCACTTTATCTGAACTGAAATGGCTAGTCTGATCTATCTGACAAAGTTACTTATTTACCCATGAAAGAAACAGCTTTAGAAGGCTGATGGCCTTTAAAGAAAGTCTGTGTCCAGGCAACACAAAGACAAAATGAAGAATAAAGATTAAAGTTGGTACTAATTTTATACTAGATGTCTAGCAAGTATTTTCAGGTGTAAGCAATTTCTCATATGCATAGGAAATTCAATCCACATGATTTTCTGTTTCTTCTGATTGAATATAAAAAGAAAGCATAACTTACCACTTAATGCCATTTGTAGCTACCCAAGAAATGTAATGTGCTTGTACTACAATATACTTGTACTACAGGTTTGGTTTCCTGTATGATCCTTTTCTCTCTCATTGAGTTTGTCAGGCAGACTACCAGCTACTGTGCTGAATTGAAGGGTGTACGTAAAGATGTTTGCATCTATTTTCATACTCCCACAGTCCTAGAGTCAATATATGCCAGTCTAGCTAGCTGAGAATGTAAAGTGAGGAAGGAAAGAAAGGGTACCAACAGCTCTAGAGTACTCAAGACTTTCTCTTGCTAGAAGGATCTTCAGAAAGCTGGCAGGTCTGTGATGGCACAGTACTATAAAGCTATTTGAAGGAGAGTACATCAGGGCCAAGGCTTATTTAAAGTACTTCATGATTCAGTTGTCTATCACTGAGTGGCTTTGTCAGTTGGCGAAAGGTTTGGGGATGCTCAAATGTGTTTATTGTTATTAATTTTCTTCTACCAGCAAACTGCTTGACTGCAGGATGTATACAACTGCAGTCTTCTGGGGAAATGATGCTACACCTGCTGTATGCCTTTCATCTGCCCTTAAGTAGTCTGTATGCGGCACTGTAATATCCAGAGGAAGCTTTATTTCATTAGCATCACTTTTGTGATCTGTACACTATCAAAGGTTCTTAAGAGAAAAATAACACTATGACAATCACTCCAATAGCCAAAATTGCACAAAAAGGTTTTAAAGTAAACTATTTCCCAGATGACTCAGAAGTGTTAACCTACTTATGACTATTCTTGATTATTTGATTACATGCCCCTGGGACCAGCAAAAACAAAAAAACACCACAAAAAAAACAAACAAAAAAATGCAAAAAACAAACCCACACAAAAAAGCCCAAAAAACACACAAAAGAAAACAAACTACTCCGTTAATTTTACAATTTCAAATTATGTGTCAAATGCACACTATTCTGACAGAATTTCCCACTCTATCTAGCCAGTGGCAATGTTACAAATGTAGAAATTAATTACTGAATGAGTACTTTATGGGATAGAGTAATTGTATATCAGGGTTAGAATACAGACCTGTATTATTTGCTGACCTGCAAGAAATTTGGGAAGATCTGAAAATGAGGTAAGACATAGCATATTCCTACATAAGAACTTCAGGAACAATCTCTAGTCTTTCTCCAGTATAGTGTCTATCTCCAACAGTGTAAACTAAGTTTTGTGCTGGCCAGAAGTCATCCAATCAAAATACCATAAACAATTAAAAATACAGTTCTTTTATCCTGTAGGGAGAAAGAAAGGGAGGGGCTGGGATCTATTTTTATGAATTCCAGCATGCTAATGGAGTAAAAAAGCTTCCTGTAAGTCTGTAAGAAAAATGCCCTACAACATGTTCTCTATGTTGAATAGACTGAAATACATGAAAACTAAAAAGTAATTCTGTTATTTGTTTTAGTATTTCTAACA